GCTTGAAATTCCTTAAATTATTGGAGTCAATAACAAATAAAAAGTTAAGCTTAAGCTTTTTATATAAGGTTGAAATTTACAACACTTAGCAAGTTACATTAAATGTGTGCTAATGTAAGCATTAGCATACGTTACCGCAGGCACACTGCAGCTAAATCAAGAGCACTTTATGCTTAATTTCAATTACTACTGTGTGAAACTGTTGAGGATTTTCTTTCACTAGTTCCTGTAGGACTATAGGTTAATATTGCTCAATGTACTGGAAGTTGACCAGTATTGGCTACATGGTATCCAGTCTAAACCTTATGGTAAGAGCATTTTTGCATAACATCACTCCTCAGATGAACCTGAAAAAATTACTGTCAGCAGTTGCAAACTGCTGCATTACCCACTGATCATTGGTAAAGACATAGAGCTTATCTTTACCATTGATTAAATTTGAAAAGGCCTTTTCAGTGTATTGCTCAGTAATGACCCACGCTAAGAAGTTTCTGATGCTACAGCTTTCGTTACACCTGTGGATGATGTGCACTGCTTTGATTCATTACCCAGAAGTCTAAAACTATTAAGTCATGTTAAAAATTAAAATTAAAAAAGTCACTATGAAAAGATAGATTTCTTCCACCCAGCTCAACCAGACTGTCATAGTATATTGTTGAATGTGTGAAGGTGTTACTTTAGTCATTCATTATATAAAATGAAATAGAACAATCAGGACATTTACTGTTTTTTGTTTGCAGTGGTCATTACACTGAAACAGTAAAACAAAAAGGCTTTTACAACTTGCAACTGGAACAAGAATATGTTTGATAAACCCAGATGAGACCTCTCTCAAACTGAACACCATGATTAAATCCAAATGAGGGGCTATTTCTACCTTAGAGGGACGAGTTGTTGTAGTTTTTTTTTTATATTACACAATCTGTTTTTTCTTTTGTTTATGGTCACAGTGTCCACTCAAGGCACAGGATTCAATTAGATTTGAGTTAGTTGCTCTTGAATAACATTGTTTAGGAATTTCCTTCCTTTTTTTTCCCACACTCCGGAAGATATTTCACATTAATACATGGACATCCTTGATCTTTTCAATTGGAGATAGCTGACAGAGGATTTTCTCACCGTAGGTAAGTGACCTCTTTGTCAGCTTTTGGGATTGAGGACTGAATGCTTGGAGGAAAAGGGGATGATTTTCACATCAGATAATGGCATTCCTGAACCCCAGAGACGGACTCCAGATTCTTGTTTAAGCCACTCAGGCTGATCTGGTAACATTTGTCTGGTAGATTATAGTAATAAAGCAAAATCTTTACAATTTGACCTTCTTAAATGAAATGGAGCTACATTCAGGAATTGAGTTTTTTAAAGGTTTTGATCCAATTTTATCAAAGCTGAGTCATTCCAGTTATTATCACAAAGAAAAATGTCAAATTAATTATCCTGTTATTTTTACCCTGTAGTTCTCTTTGTTTTTATTAATTTCCTACATTGTATTTTAGATTTTTCTTGTTTTATTTTAAAATATAACTTGAAAATGATCCATGTCTCATTAAAAGCAGCAGAATGAATTTTCCTGCAATTTCTCTGATTTTTGTTAAGGATTCACCAACAGCTATTAAGGCATGAAAACAAAAAAAGCAGTTATCAGATTTAACCATGCTGTCTGTGATACGAGCTTAACCTCCGCTAATATCTGATGAATATTTTTATAGAGTTAAGTCTTTGTTGAAAGTGACTGTCATCATTCTTTTTCATCTATTGCTGCTTCTTGAAGGAAAGACAAACTTACTGACAGAATGGCTTAGAATAAAGCATACAAGCTTAACAAATTGTCACAAATATGACCTCTAACAATATCCTTGTTTACTAAGAGTGCTTTTTTGTGGTTAGTTGCTCAATAAAGAATCTCTGCAGGATGTCTGAGTCAGATCAGAGGCGTTAGCTGTTGTGTGGAGTGAAACTGTCTTGAAAGGAATTTTCAGCAGCCACTAACATCATCAAGTCTCATGCAGATTTAATGTGGCAGACAGAACAAAAAGAAGATGGGAAAACGATATACTAGGCATGCCTAAAGTCGGTCTTCGAGGGGCGCTGTCCTGCAGGTTTCTGAGGTTTCCTTGCTTCAGCACAGCTGATTTCCATTGATTGCTGATTAACAGGCTTTTGCTTAATTGCAATAATCAGAATCAGCTGTCCTAAAGCAGGGAAAACTAAAACCTGCAGGACAGCAGCCCTTAAGAACTGACTTTGGACATGCATGCGCAACAGTTTCATTAATCCTTTTTCAATTAAGTACCTTCCTTTTTAAATGGAGTTTACCTTCATCTAATTTGATCACAATATCAGAGTGTTCTGTAAATTCCTTAGTATTAAACAAACAGCATCATAAAAGACAAGGAAACACATAAGAAAGGTCAGGGTAGAGGTAGTACAGTAATTCATTGAAGGGTAACAAAATCCTAAGCTTCAAACAACTTTAGTAGTCTAGATGCTGATGAAGATTCTCAGTCATCCAGGTCATAGTCATTCCGTAAAAATTCAAAAATATCCACTGGACTTTTATTGAAAAAAGCTTCCTGGAGAGGTGGTGAAACGTCTTCAAATCTTGGAAACCAAGTCCAGTGGCTATTTTTGAATTTTTACGGAATTAGTAGTCTAGATTTTAGTAGTATTAGACGTATAGCGGACAGTAAACATGGGGAAGAAGATACTCTAATCAAATAAGCCCAAACGTTGGACTTTTTGCCCTACATGCAAAACATAATGTATATAGAAAGAACATAATATAGCCTGTTATCTTAAAAACAGTCCTCGGCTGAGAATGAACAAGAGTTCGAACTAGTGAGGCTGATCTGCTCGCAGGACAACATCTCTAATTATTCAGCAAAGGCTAATATGCAGTAATTGAAATCAAAGCATATTCCAGTGTTGAAACGGCCCAGTTAAAGTAGAGACCAAATCTGTGGCAAAATTTACATTTATGGCCACTCACATCCAGTCTGACTAAACTTTGTGTATTTTGAAAAGATGAATTTGCAAAACAATTTCAATCACAAGTTGTGAAAAGATATAGATATGACACACTTCTGATTTACAGCTGTAAAAACTTTAGTTACCCTTAGTGAACTTATTTGTGGTATTCTGAAGAAAAAAAATTCCAATGTGCCAAATGTGTTTGACGGTTTTGGGAGTAAGAGGGAGAAACCTTAATCTGTTGATATGCCGAAGACTTGAAGCTGTAATTGTAGAGCAAGGTGTCTAGTACGTAAGTATTTACCCCCTTGGGGTGAATATGGATGCACAGTATACTTTTTATATTTTATTTGTAAAAAGTTATTAAAGCAATCGTTTTGCTTCCACCTTACAATTAAACTACCTTGTGTTGAGCAATCTCATGGAATCTAAATAAAATCCTTGAAAATTGCTGGGTATGTACACTTTGGCACCTTTAACTGTCAGTTCTATCCATCTAACATGATGGCACTTCCTTATTCCTCTTAAAGCAGCAGCTTCACGTGTTGCGCTTGTTTTCTTCTTGATGGGACACCTTATCTCCGTGTGCAAGTACACAACCCTGGAGATATTCATGTACCGTTTTGTTTTCAACAGCCCATCTTGTAAAACAGAAGGCACCCAGGCATGAAGCAGTCAGAACTCTTCTTTCTTCAACTCGTCCCGCCTCAGCTTGAGGATTTATGGCTAAGTCCTCACTCCCCTGCTCGCATACCCCCTTGAGGAAGAAGCTGAGAAGACGCAACTCTGGCTCTCGCTGAAACTCTGCACTCCCCTGCCTGACACGCAGCCACCTCGTTTTGTCACCTTTCAGGATCCTGCAGGGTGATGCCACCGACAGTCCTGTTTGACACATAGTCTCCTGAACACCTGAAGCTATGATCCCAACATATTCTTTCATCTTTGCAACCCCTCTCCCCCCTTTCTTCTGACCCAATACACGTCAGAACTTGGTACCCGAATCAAAAGGAGTCCTCATTGTTAGGGCTCAAACAGTACACCAGTGTCATGTAAGCTCCTTGAAGAGAACAGCTGCAGGTAATCCACATGGAGAGGATCCTGAGCTCTTTGTCACTCCTGTCTTGTGACTGTTGCTGAAGCCAGGCGTGGGCGTACGTAAAGTCCTCTCTTACATTAACGCTACAGCCCCTGTGGCCTGTGTGCCTGGCAGCTGTCTGCGCTGTAAACGAAACCAGAAGAAGATGCTCGCGGTTTGGACGCCACCACGATGGGACCACATGCTGGTCGGGCTACATGAGTGCAGTAGCTCTAACAAGTAGAGAGGGGTGGTCCAAAAGACAGAGTTCTGTCATACGTTGGTAGGTTTTGATTACACAAACGGATTTTTGGAGTTAAAAGGTAAGATTTTTTTGCTTTTTTATCAATCAATTAAAAAGAAAAAAAAGTTAAAAGTGAAAATAAAATTAGGACTCTAATAAAACACATTTATCTGTGGACAGCTTTTCCCACCGATTAAAACAATGATAAGTCGTTTTTTTGACACATATACTAGCAAACCAAAACCAAAACACAAATATTGCCTTCCCTTTACACTCAAAAATATAAAACTAATTGCTTATTGTCATAGCAATTTAAGGTCTCTCTCCAAAGCAATACTCTAATTTAAAAACAACAAACTGATGTCAAACTTACAGTGAGCTGCCGAACCCACACAGATTTATTTATTTATATTTAAAAAGCAAAATCTACTTCAGAATAATTTAAATGTTCCCAAAAGCAAAATTCATCTTTTTTATAACAACATGCTGCATTATGATAAATGGATCTGAGCACGAAGGGGAAAAAAGCATGGCAAACCTTTTCCGTTACACTAGAATTTGAGGTTAAGATTCTTTGGACTGGACCAGAGAACATTTTTCCACGCAGTCGACTGAAAATTGCACCCTCAGAAAATGATCACTTGACCAAATAGACTTACAGTGTGATGCCTTAAAACTGTGGATTTATTTATTTATTTTTATTTTACTCACCACCAGATGGGATAGCCTCCGAGCGCTCGTGAGCTGGACAACCACACACACAGCAAATATCCAATCAGATACAAATCCATGAGGTAAGCCTTGTCAAGTGTGTGTAAGCTGATCAATACACAGAACTTCCAGCTGGCAGTGAAGAAGGGTTTCCAGGATGAGGAGCTTTCAGAGTAGTTTAATTGTTGAATGAAGGTAAAATTTAAATATCTGATCAAATAAAAAAAAAGGAAAAACAAATCTTCCCCCTGTTTTTCCCCTCTCTTTCTTTGAGTCGGGCCAGGAAAGTGTGTCTGTCTCCAAGTAGTTAAGAGAATAAGTGTCTCTTACACTTATGCACACGCTCCTACCCGTCCTCTCCTTCCCTCCCTCTCTAAGATGTTCTTCCCTAAGGTAGATATCTTTTCCTCTCTCTCCCGACTTTTTTCTCCCTCAGGATGCCTCATCCACAGGCCCAATATTAAAGTGGAGGGAGGCGGGGTGGAGATATAGGTGGTGTTGGTGGGGTGGGGGGGGGGGGTGGGGGTTGTAGGATGAGGTTTGGAGATGTCAGCTGGCAAGCCAATCACAGGAGATGGCCTAAGGTTACAAAAAAAAATTATTATTCGTTCCCATCTGTCAATCACACGCCAACCCCCTGGTAATGTTGAAGGAAAAAGAACAGAGTGCAAAAACGAGAGAAGAAGGAAGATGTAGGGAGGGCCCACATGAAAAAAGGTAAAGTGGATCTGTTGCTCAACTTGTTTAATCCGTGATCAGAAAAAAAGCTCCCCCATAAAGCGGCAAGAGGCAGGTGATGAGGTCTCGAGAGGATGCCTGGCAGTACACGCTGACATACATGCTGACAAGGATTTTTTATTTTTTTGTTTCTTAGGAGCTTCTGCCCTGGCTAATTGATCCTGATACAAGCATGTACTCACACGCACATATCCCTCTCTTACGAAAGTATATAGGGAATTTTCCCAGTTGTCTTCTACCCAGCCTGACAGAGAAGAAGGCATAAAAGGGGTCCACAATAAAGCCATAAAACGGCAGAGGTGGCTGGGCCAGGCACGCAGGGGTTATGTGCTCCAGCGGCCCAAAGGCGACACGTTTTACATCAATACTATTGTCATTCTGATGGGCTGTGAGGCGAGCAGCCGTGGGACAGAGTGGGGGTGATGAGGAGAGAGATAGAGGGTGAAGGAGGAGGGTGGGACACTTGAGATGGACTTAGCCTGGAGAGAGCATGCAGGAGACAAACCCACAAGGAAACTGATCAGGATGAATGCAAACAAGATACCCAGCGAAAGATCAAAGGAAGGCAGTTGTACTGATAGTGATCTAGACGATCAAATCAGTCAGAATGAATAAATTACAACACCTGAAATCCCTTAGCTTTTTCATGTTTTGCCACATTAAATCACAAGCTAAACGAGAGCTAAACATAAGAAAAAATAGTGTTTGCAAAATTGTGACATGATGGTACATTATTTCCAAAAGAATTTTACAAATCAAAGTTTAGAATACAGCCTAGTTGTTTCTCCACTTTATTTGCACATCTAAAGACAAAAAAATTCTTTGCAAAATAGCTTTACGTCCAATCAAATTGGATGAATAATGACTGTGAAAAATGTTCATATCTTTCCTAGATTCACTTGGCCATTCAAACACATGAACATAGTTTGATCCAAACCCTTCAATTAGAACTATAGGATTTTCTAAGATTAAATCTAAATTCAATCTATATTAAAACTAGATTTTACCTTATTTGACTGATGAGTTTAAAATCACTTCCCATCTCAAAACCAAGTTCTCGTGAATGTGGATATAACACACACTATATTGCTAAAAATCTTCGCTAACCTATGTTAACTAACATAAGAGTTTAAGTGACATCCCGTTCTTAATCCATAGGGGTTCCATATGAAATTGGCCCATCCTTTGCTGCTAGAGGAGCTTAATTTCTTCCCGAAGGCTGTCCAAAAGGTTTAGGAGTGTGTTTATGATAATTTCTGACCAGTCTTCCAAAAGTGCATTTGTGAGGTCATAGACCAGGGGTGGGCAATTCCAGTTCCTGGGGGCCGGTATCCTGCATCTTTTAGATGTGCCTTTGGTTCAACACACCTGAATCGAGTAATCAGATAATTGGGAGGACTCTGCAGGAACCGACTGCATACTGAGGAGGTAACTCAGCCATTTGATTCAGGTGTGTTGGACCAATGATGGATCTAAGATTTGCAGGATTCCGGCCCCAGGAACTGGAATTGCCCACCCCTGTCATAGACTGATGTTTGACGAGGAGCTCCGACTCTCAGACTTTACTCTAATTCATACTGAAGGTTTTATACTGGACTGAGGTCAGGACTCTGTACAGGGCAGTCAAGTTCACACCAGACTCTGCCATCCATGTCTTCATGAACCTTTCATTGTTCACTGGTGCACAGTCATGTTGGAAGAGGTAGGGGCCAGATCCAAACCATTCCCACAATGTTGGGAGCATGGAATTCTCCAAAAATGTGTTGATATGCTGAAGCATTAAGAGTTTCTTTCACTGTAACTAAAGCCAGAGAATACGTCTCAACTGCCCTGAATTCAAGGGGTTTATGTACCGTAACCCACTGCATATGAAAGCTTTGCAATTCACTTGGTGATGTATGGCTTAGATGCAGCTGCTTGACCATGGAAACCTATTCCACCTGTTCTTCAGGTAATCTAAAGGCCCCCATAAGTTTTGAGAGGTTTCTGTAGTGATTGAATCTGCAGAAAGTTAGCGACCCTCAGCATCCACCGACCCTGCTTCTTCAATTTAAGCTGAAAGTCGACAAAAGGATATTTAGGAGCAAGGAAATTAAATGACTGGAGTCATTGCACAGGTGGCATCCTATCACAGTTCTTTGCTGGAATCCATTGATATCCTTATTCAATAATACTTTTGGTAATATGGTATACACTGCCAGGGGACCTAGATCAACAGGAGGGGTATGGCATGATCCACTAAGTCCAAAGACAAGTACCTTAGGCCATGCAAGGCAAGTTTATCTGTATAGCACAATTCAGTGCAATGACAATCCAAAGTGCTTTACATTATTTAAACAATAAAATAGAATAAAAAAGTAGAATAAAAGCAAGTAGAGATAAAAATATGATAAAAGCAGGTAGTAAAACAAACAAAAACAGTTTGACCATAACCTTAAACTGGAGCATAGGAACTAAATGCTGCTTCTCCATGTTTGGTTCTAGTTCTGGGTGGGCAGAGTAGGCTGGAACTAGAAGACCTGAGTGGTCTGGGAGATTGATACACTGACAACAAATATGTTATGTATTGAGGTGCTGATCGATTTATTGATTTCTAGTCTAACAGAAGCATTTCAAAGTCTATTCTCTGAGCTACAGGAAGCCAGTGGAAGGACTTCAGAACTGAGCTGTTGTGTTCTACTTTCTTAGTTCTAGTGAGAACATGGGCAGCAGCGCTTTGGATCAACTGCAGCTGTCTGATGGACTTTTTTTGGCTAACCTGTGAAGACACTATTGTATGACTGAGTTTTTCTAGATCCTGCTTGGACATTAGTCCTATAATCCTGGAAATGTTCTTCAGGCGATAAAAAGCTGACTTAGTAACTGCCTTATGTAACTGTGAAGTCCATCATGACACCAAGATTATGGGCATAATCAGTGATTTCTAGCTGTAATAGCTGAAGCTGTGAGCCAACTCTGGATCTCTCCCCCTCTGGTCGGAAAATGATGACCTCAGTAATTTTATTTGTTTGGAGAAAATTATAGTGCATACACTCTTTGATCTGTTCTAAGCATTAGCTAATACTCTGATGATTTCATAGTCCCTTGGTGACATTGCGATGTAAAGCTGAGTGTTGTCTGCATAGTTAGGGTAACTGATCTTGTTGTGGGCTATAATCTGAGCTTAGAGGAGCATAAAGATATGGAAAATGATGGGCCCCAGTATGGAGCCTTGAGGAACCCCGCATGTGATTTTTCTTTTCTCTGATTTAAAGTTTCCTACTGACACATAGAATACACAAAGAAGGACTTAAACCAGTCCAGTGTGGTACCAGAAACGCAGACCCAGTTTTCTAGACGCTCTGATAACCTTCCCCCAGTACCTTAGATGAGTATAGGGGAAAGGGCTTCCATAAAGTTGTAGCTAGTCAGGGGTAATGAGTTGTAGCTAAGGCAGACCAAGCTGACGGAGAGAGAACAAACTGACCAAGAGGAGCAAAGCAGACTGAAACCTTAGAAACTCAAGCAAAAAACTAACAGAAGTCAAATGAGTGAAAACTCCAATTGGTGAAAAAACAATAGCGATCCAAAGCATAAACTGGTAAAAAAAACAAAACGAATAACAAAAACATTCATAAACATAGGGAAATAACAAAACAAATAAAGAGCTAACCGTCATTGTAAACATCAGAGAAATTTCAAAATACATATAAAAAAAACCTGAACACCTCAGAATCATAGCAAAATCTTCCCAAAGCGTATATACCAAAAGTCTTTAGATTCTATGAAAACAATCACAAAAACAGCCCTAACAGAGCTGGTGGATGGGGCCATGAAAGAAGGACATGGAGCAAACGTAAAAACATTGATACAGGAACTTTGAAGCAAAAGAGGTCAGGAAGCCATTGGGGGTGAAGCCATAATGGACCTTGTCAGGAGGGTAATCAGGCAATCAGGTAATGTGGACCCTCTGCCAGGAGAACCCAGCAGACTGGAGCTCTTGAGACAATAACCCAGCAGACTACACCTCTTAAGACCGGCACCCACAGAAGGACTCTGAAGACTGGCACCTACAGAGCAGCTCTGAAAACTGTTTCACTGGAAGCAGGAACCCACAGAGGTAATTTAGATAAGGAACCGCTTGAACCATCAATGGACCTTTGAAGATGGAGACAGAGTGGAGCCCACCTAAACAACTTTGATTTCAGGCACAGGACCAAGAGGCGGTTCATCCTCAAATCTCCTGAAGAACTAGTTAACTGGAACAGGAGTCTTGAGGGACATTGAAAAAAATGGACAGGAGATGGAGATAATGATGACTATGACTAACTATGACTACACCAGTGGTGTAGATGGCATTGATGATGATGTAGCCAAGGTTGTGGATGGTGACAATGATGATGGTGATAAAAGCTCTAAGAGATGTTGGTGAATATTTGCCAGTTATGGGGTTCTTTGTTGGCATGGATAAAGCTCCCAGGTTCTGAGGTGGAGTGCTGGAGACTCTGCATGTGAAGCCGAGAAGTGGAAGGCTCAGATAATCTTTCCATTGACCTGATTCTCAGAACTGAAGTGAATGTCTGGTAATACCAGCACTGTATGTGGCGAGAGGATGGCAAAAAGCCAAGCAGGAGACACTGAGCAGACCCTTCAGGAAAGCGAATGAGTCATCAATCAGCCTCATAGAGGCAAGGGTGATGGTTTCAGCAATAAAGTTGGAGGCAGTGGCCAGAGGTGTCAGTCAAACT